GTCGATCCGACTAAATCCCTAGGAGGAGTTCGTTAAAGTACGGAGTCTGTAAATCGTCCAAAAATGGCCGCCAAATTCAAAATGGCGGACCTCCTGTCAAGTTTAGGGTATGGGTTCTTGAGGCTTTTTAGTGCGTCTTGATATGATACACGTCCCTACCAAATTTCGTGCATGTAGGTTGAACGTGGACGAGGGGCTAATTTTTTCCAATTTTCTAGGTGGCGCTAGCGTGCCATTTTGCCCCGCCCATCTGCGAAACCCACAAAATACGAAATTTTTCACCAGTCCTGACATGCGTGCCAAATTTGGTGAGTTTTTGAGCATGTTGCGGCCCCGAAAATGGCACTTACTTTGCAGAAAAAAAAATAAATAAATAAAATAAAATAATCCTAACAGTTTCAATAGGGTCCTCGCACTGTTAGTGCTCGGGCCCTAATAAAAAAAGACATTCAGTTGTTTAAAGTCTATTAAAGGCTCAAAGCGATCTAACAGATCTTGGGCAATCAGAAGTGGGTACGTGATCGTTCGTGATCGGTACCCTGGGTGAATCAGGCTCATAGGACCAAATGGATGAATGGGAGCTACCTGTTTTGAGCCAGAAGTTGTTTTGGCTGTAGGGTTTTCATTCAGCTCACATGTTTGGGCTTTGAGAGTGCGTTCTTGACTCTTAGCTTTAGCAGTGAGTCTTTCGAAGAGTTGGGCTAACCTTAGCGTGATGTTTGAGCTAGTGTCTGACAGGCCTTCGAGGCTCAAATGGTTGTCTCTCGTGGTGGCTATGTAGAGTCTTTTGTGCCACCCCCCTTTTGTTTAGGGTTCCCAGAAGTTTTGGCGTCTGGGCTGGTGTTGTGATCGATGAGCGGTTAGGGCCGGTCTTGTGTGGGACACCGGACTGTCATGCTCAGGTTGTGCAGCTGTCAGTTGTGGTGGCTGCTTGGTGTTGTCGCTTTGTGATGCGACAGTGAGCTCTGTGGTCTGATGCTGACGAGCAGTGTTCTGGGTGTCTGGCTTGGGTCTTGCGCTGAGACATAGGATGTCTGACTTGTCTTCCTTGTGATGTCTCGTGCAGAAACGCTTTCAGCACCTTCAGGATTTCTGCCGTCTGTGACGTGGCTGCACTGTTGTTATCTGATGTGTGCTCAGACTTGTGCTTACCAGTGGCGTGTTGAGAGGGGTAGCCGCTCTGGGCTGGTTGGGCTTGAGTCTCTTGGTGCTGGGGGTGCGGCCCATTCTGCGTCGCCGGCTGGCTTCCAAAATGTTTCAGAGCTCTTGCTCTGGGGCGTTAGATGAGCACACATGACTGTTGTGTTGCCCTCTGCTGGCCTGGAACGGTTTAACTACTCAGTGAAGGTGTTTGT